TGTATACATCCAATACATAGAAAAACAAAGATTTTTGCCAACAATGCACTATATTCAGTCTTCTTTTCTTAAAAGCAAATTAAATGCAATTTCCGTATTTAAATAACATATGGAATGATAAAACATGGTTGTAAATGGCCCACTAGACAATCATATTGCATATGCACTTTAATTGGGTCGACTGTGCATTTTATATTTATTCAAGACTAGTACACACACAAACCCATATATATATAAACGTTTCACTCATATGCACACGACTTCAGTTGAATTTTGGATCAAAACATTGTGAAAATTCAATGCAAAAATTACCACTTGAATGCTCAAATGGTGAGAATCAGATCATTTTACTCTTCAGGTGCATTAGAAATTCTAGCAGTCATTCACAGTGCTTCCAACTGTATATTTTCTAGGGATTACAACTAATAACATCACTTGTCATAACTATGAGTCTAGTGGGTATCACGTGGTCTGCTCTACAGAAATTTCACTATAACTCAGTTAGATATTGTGAGCAATTCTTGCAAGATACCATGAAAATATTTCACTGCTGAAAATTTCTCTGTGGCTTGGAAAGTAAGAATTGTGATGTCTTTTTGGTCTTATCTCTTGTGATCAACAAACGATACTAACATCCTAATCAAATTGAATCACACGTTTCACCTTGAAACGCTGCTTGTTCAGTTGTATGATATAGCATCATGATGTATGACAAGTTAAGTTTCTGTCCCAATTAGTTTGATGGGATCAAAACTCTGCAAGCATCTGCTTTATAGTTTATATTACCCATTCTGCTAAATCAAAGACTGAATGTGATAAGGCAAAGTGTGTGTATTCACCCCACCCAACACAACTCGGAGAATAGCAGAATGATGTGATTTTTTCAGATGAGCTGAATTGTGATACCTATTGTTTCACCTGTGATAAACTGTGATAATATGCATACCAATGGAAAGACTTATGCCTGCTTAGATAATCACCAGCAAATACTAATTATTCAGTAGTATTCCCCAGTGGTTCAGCAGTATGTCTGGAGGTCTATAACACTCAAAATCGGGTTTCAATAGTCGTTGTTAACCATTATATAGCTTTGTGCTTAACAACAAAATACAAATAATCTTCAGGAAAGCACAAATGATATCCAGGGTTATTCTCTGCAATCGAGAGCCAACAACACACTACCAAAGTTTACTTTGTCTCTCGGTCAGTTTTACCTGTAGGAGCACACACAATACAGCATTTACACAATCATTCAACATCGAAGCACAAATACAGCCAGTAGAACTACATCATATGTTAGCACAGATACATGTAACACCTTTTTTGGCCTGCAATCATTCATTATGCAAATAATAAAGTATTTCCTGCCTGAGGGCACCACTAGCTCTAACGTAGATTGAGAACCTCTTCTTGGTAATTTATGATAACAGTACAGAACACTCCCTTTATTCATATCTACTCGCAATTCTTCATTCTGCACTGTCCATGCTTCACTTTGCTGCAAGCAAAAAGTGTTTACACTAGATCTGGGTCAGAGCTTTTGAAGTGTTAATTTTGGTATAGATGCACAAGTGAAACATTCTAAAGTATTATTCAGTGTCACTGTTTTATTAATAATATTAATTCCTATATGTGTCCCGGATCATAACATTCAGAAAATAGACAGTCCCTCCTCCAAGAAGCAAGAAAATCCATCCAAATTTCTATGTCGCAGGCCCAAGAAATTATGCACTTCCAAGTCATAGTCTTGCAACATTGTGATCTAATGTGTGGTCATCCTTTCTGTATTTTTAAAGTTCATGAGCCACTACAGCAATGCATGACCCATACAAATAATGAAGTTTCTGCCATATAAATCGTGTTGGTAATATTTACATCTCCTAGCAGGTTTTTTTCTTTAATGTGAAGTATCTTCATACAGAAGCTATCGATGTATTATTAGTGTGTACATTACATATACCACTCTATCCTGCAATTGTAACAATGCCACTGCAATTCCACTACTGTGGTATCAGTATCCATTAGAAATGGACAATCTAATCGTGTTTATACAAGTACTGTAGCTTCAAAAAAGTATATCTTAACAATAAAAACATTTGGCATAATCTACAGTCCATTTCAAATGTGAATAAAGTTTAGTGAGAGTGAATAATGGTACAGCAATCTTGGAAAAATTGAACACAAGATATTGATAATACAATGCAAAAGCAAGGAACTGCACATAATTTGCTTGCCAAAGGGTTGAGGCCAGCCTTACACTACTATGATCTTTCCAAGGCCCATATAGATTTCATCTCTTCCCATAATTAAACAAGGAACTCAACCTGCTTACACATTAGTACACACTTTCTTAGTTTCAACTTCAAGTCTATTTAGAGAGCTAAAGGTAGTTTTTGTGTATTGTCATCAACATCCATATTTACTTGCCAATATCTGGAAGCCAGTTTTTGGTACTGTCCATGGAAGTGGAAGGGTATAAATGTGGAGTCATCTCGTTCACCCATCTAAAATCAACATAGAACTTTGACATTCCCTCCTTCTTCCTGAAAATATCTATTGGTGATGACCATGGACTCTTTGAAGTTTTTATGATCCTGCCTTTTAACATCAATGAATTTCAGCACTGGACCCCTAGTGCTAAAGCTTGTGGAGCAATTGTTTTATCAAACTTGTATCACTTGTATCTATGTGATGACAATTTGTAGCTGTTTACCCCAATCAGTCATCTCGTCCGATGAACATTACATATTCAACTAACAACTCACTGAGCTGAAGCCACAGTGTTAGATCTAGATTGCTTGCACAATCATCAGATAGCAACCTGAGATATGCTGACTGTAATGTAATAACTATCAGCATGACATGAAAAAAGTAATCCCAGCAGTACCATTATGCCATCTCAGCAGGAAGCTGAAGACACAAATGGTTGTAATAATAGAGCAAACTTATGACTGTATTCGATGACGAGGAACCCACTTTGAGACTAATAATGCTTGGAGACGGCTTGAATGGGTAATGACGAAAAACTTTAATATAAATTTAACATAACAGCAAATGTACAACGTTTCGACAAGATTTTGTCATCACCTAATGATGACAAAACCTTGTCAAATCGTTGTACATTTGCTGTTATGTTAAACTTATGACTATATCTCCTTTCAAATAAACGACTATTTGACTATTACCTCCTTTCTCGACAAGAAAAATGAATTTCATGCACCACATTATAAGATGACACCACCCTCAATTTCACCCACAGTACTCTACTGAACACCACTTGCGTATATGTAGATACTGTGACTACTTACTCAACATACAGTCATGCAGTCCAGTGTTTCTAGACCCAATCTGGTTGGAATTGGACAGATTTTCATTGAGACATTTATTCTGTTGCACAGGCAAAACTGGCCAACAATTTCTGCAGTAGATAGGTCTATCTCAAAGACTCCAATAACAAAATCAGAGACAACTATTTTCATCCTGTAAGTAGTATTACCTAAAGATGTGCCTTTCAATTCACATCTAGTTGATCACCATTCACCAGAATAAGGTTCGTATTGACCAAGATGATAGCTCCACTCACAATGTCTGATGCACAGCAAGGTCAATCAGTGTCCTCACAGCTCCTTTATAAACCAGAAACACCACCTCTCACATGTGCATCTTTATCAGCATGTAAAAAGCACCATCCAGCCCTGAAAGTACTGTGCTGACTGTCTTACTCCTCCGAGTCAGTAATAAGACCAAAATTGGGCTACATTAACTTTCTGGAGCTGGTGTGACATTCGTCATAGCTTGTTAACAACCCTTCTATATCTGCTGAGCAATCAGGAGGAACAAGTAGTTTTACCTACCTTGTTATGAAGCAAGATATGGGCAGTTCACTCTAAAGTAACAACCCATATGATCATTTTTCTATCAGAGTGACATCTGGATGGAAACATCATTGGCACAAACATAATGAGAGATCCTCGAAAGCTCTACCCACTCCTTGAATCTGGTGGGGCAGTGTTACAGCACTGGTATGTATAATATTAGTGGCAGATTTACACACAGAACACAAGCTTAGTATGATGCAGACACTTCGGGAAAGCAGTCTGGATGAGGTACAATCACTGCAGTGCCACTTATTTCTCTCTTGTGACCTGTTTAAAGTTACAACCTCAAACCTAGTCACAACTGACACTGCCTCCATCAGGAAAAAATATCTCTCACATCTGGATGATGTTACATTGTCTTCCTTGGCACTAACATGTCTATGAGAATAGCATCATCATCTGCTAATACTACAATGATATATATACTTTTCCTTGTAAATAGCACAGTTCATCCATATAAGCAGTCGAGATTTTGACAGGACCCTTCTTTCAAGCCTTGAATTTCGCTCAATAGACAACTCTGTTTTCCACCAGGTCAAAATGTTAGTAGAACTCAGCCATGTCTTTATCACAGTCACCAGGTTGCTCTTCATTCAAGTACTCAGTCTCTATCTATCCCTGATTGACGGTGGGGGTAGTGTTTCACTCCTCTGTGCTTTTTTCTATGTTAACAGCATAACTCAAAAATTCTACATCGGACTTTGATCAAATATGCTTAAAAGGTTGAGCATCTCTCAAATACAAATTGAATAACCTTCGGTAAATGTAGCTCAAAGGCCAAGGTCATGCTGAAGGCCAACCATTTTCGTTATAATGGTAGCAAACTGAGATTTTGAAATAAATTACTAAACTTTAAACTGTTGTTCTATCTTTCCTTATACTTTACGAAACGTTAAAACATTCTCAAAATTAAACTTTTGTTCTCACTTTCGTTATGCTGTAAGAAAATGTTACGACAGACCCAAAATTTTAAACTGCTATTATTTCTCTTCTCATGAACACTTGCAACACTTTTTGCTTAAGTCAAATGCTCATTTTAAAACTAAAATGACACAATTAAAGGATAGAGATATTATTATACATATTATTGCAAATTTTAACCTTTGTGTTTCATTTTTACAGAAGAATGGACTACCTGTCGCAGAGTGATAAATCACAAAACCAGACAGGTAAGTTTGACAGGATCATGCATAATTCAGTTAGCTTGTTATATTGTAATTGCAATACTTCCACTTAACTTTAAAAGGGGAAAGTGGGGGACTTCTTTTAATGTTTCAAATACAAATGTTATTTCCTGGCTTATTTCACTTATGTTACATGTTCTACTCACAATCCTGTGACTGAATAAGATAAACGCACATTTTGTTTATATTTGCACGAATGATTCATCAGATAGAAACACGAGTCCAGCGCCAGCTGGTGTATGAAGATGGCAAAATGATCGCTGACAGCGGACCGCAAATAACAACGAAGACGACAGAAGACAGTCGAACAGAGGAATCAGAAAATACAGAGGTAAGTATTCCTAGTGGAATTTTAAATGTTGAATAATACTTGTTCATCGGTATTGAATACCAATATAATGATATATTTTACATACGATGATTTTTTTATACATCCCATATTTTGTATTTGTGACGACTGTCGAATCAAATGGGAACACCACGAAACTTGCCAAACTGCTCTTGAAAAAATTATGTGCTGCAGGTGACATCACAGAAAGGAACATTATAATGCACATTATTAACGAAACCGTAACTTTACTATAAGAATGAATTCTTTTACACTATAGTGTAAAGTACACTAAGCTCACCGGTGGGTAAGCTGCAAGTTTACAGACTAACAATGCTAAAATCCGGGTTTCGAGTCTTCGCTGTGGAAAGAATGCAAGTAGCTCATTGTGCAGCTTTGCACATGGAAGACAACAACAAATAATCAGTTATAGTAAAGTGGAATGCGAGTGCGTTTTGTTAAAATATATATGTATATATAGCTTATATCATATATATATATATATCATACAAATATTATAATTAGTGTTATTTCCTCAAATACGGGCAGAAGACCGCCTGGAGGGGGTCACCTATACAGTATACA